GCTGTGTCTCCCTCCTGTTGCCGATTCCCTCATTACTACCCTGTGTATATAAGGCCTGTGTTTTCCCATGCTCAGTGTCGTGTCGTACCCTCAGATTATGCCTGTGTGTTTTTGGTTTCTGTATTCACTTCACGTTTGGTTTTCATGTCAGCAATAAAGCTGAGGTTTTGATTTACAATTCTGTGTTCGAATCCTGCGCTTGGATCCTCCTCTCCGCCTGCCCGCACACAGAGCCCTGACAGCGTCGGGTTTAGATGATGGCTGAGGCAGCCCTATTTTGTGTATTTCAAGGTCTCCATGAATTTCTCCTATGCGTGTTTCAACTTCTTCTCTTTCTGCATCTTCAAGTTCAGTTTCTAATTTCTTTTCTAACTGTGCCTTTTCATCTTCTAAGGCTATAAGTATTTGCTCAAGGATATGAGTTTCTTGTGTACTCTGCTCCATTACAATGTTTTAAACCAACAACTTAGAACAATAAAAGGAAACTTAACCAGAGTACACTACCTTAAAAATCAAACAGCACAGTAATAAACTTTCAATAAATGAACAAATGTACAATATCTACACCATACAATTTTCTTTTTGGCTTTTTCTTAGATCTTTTTATGCAGTTCAAATGTTTCGCTGATGTAAGAACTCACAGTCTACTCTTCTACGTGGGCTGCCGTCTTGGAAGAATGGCGTGCAGGGCTCTGGCTGCCCGCTCCATAACAGGCCATGTTTTTTAACTGTAACTGCTCCTGAAGGTTTTTCATGTTCGAAGTAGAATAAAGGGCCATGCTCCAACTGATGTTCAGCAATTGTAGTCCATATCTTCTATATTTCCACCTTTTACACAAGCCAGCATTCTCTTTCTGGCTCGAGCCTTCAGTCTCTGGTGACATGTGCGCTTAATTGAGCATCACCCCAAAGCATGCGCACCACAAAGCGCCACACTCAGGCCCACCAGTAGGTGGCGACAACACAACATGAATCCAGATTAAACACCAAATTTTGAACATTGCAATCACATAATAATTACATTTCAATGCGACAGCTACAGTGAGTAAAGATCTAACTGCCTCCATCGTGCCTGCAGCTAACGTGGCTTTGTAGCACTTTGTCATCCAGTTGGCTGCGACCTGAAAAGCTGTATCTTCCCATGTTGTATGATCATGGTTTACAATAATTTTAGTATAATGTTCCTGCAGTATAGAAAGGCTATTTTGTAACCATATCTGCGTGTTCCTTCCCACTGCCTCCCTAAGTTCCTCCGTAGGGGAGGAAGGTCTGATGAATGCTGTGAGTTTTAATATCTGTCTCCTCATTCCCTTAGGGGGAGTTTGGGTTAGAATAGCTTTATCAATGATGTTTTTATGACGTATGGCCTGCATTAATTTGAAATAACTTTTTGCTACCTGTCTAATATTTACATTCAATGGTTGATATGCAAAATGATGATCACGCTGTGGACCTGTTTGTCCCCCCTCTCCCTCCCCCTCATTCAGAGGGGGAGGGGGGGAGGAATTGCTGTGGTGTTTTTTGGCAGATGGGTTCCTTCTAGCCTCCGCTGGAAGGCTGGATTGGGCCCCCTGGAACCTATTGGAAAAATCCATTGTCAGTACAGAGGCTTACCTGTGTTTGGGCCTCAAGTTCACTCCACCCTGGGTCTCCAGGAGTTTTTTACTCCAGGTGTTGTATCCGTGTATTTCCAGGGTGAAAAGGTCTGAAACACTCTGTTTAGAGGGTCACACACAGTTCAAGATCCTCCAATCAAAGAAGTCACTGTCAAAGTCCAAAGTTTTAACTAGAGTCCATGCTCTCCGTGCAACTTCTTCCCTTTCTTCCTTTTCTGCAAACAGAGTCTTGTCTGAAGGAGGATAAAAAGAGGTTCTAGCCCACAGCTTTTGGCGTCCAATTAGCAAAGTGGGGCTCAGACAGGCTTCTCTACAAGGTAAGGCCTCACTGACATACTAAAAACCAAATGTTTATTAATCAATTTACAAAAATACTTTAAAAGCCAATTTAGGACAAAGAGAGTCCAATAAAATCTATTCCTATAAGTCCAAAGGGTTAGAATTTGCACTCCACCCTTTAAGACCACTAATTTAATCAAAAAGGCTCTGTTTGGGCCCAATTCAGCCTCTTTTCCCTTTTCCCTTACGTTTTGCAGCCTGCTGCTGCTTCATCAGAGGGAGTCACAGCGGAGAATGGACAGGTGTGTTAATGAAGGGTTAGGGTTAGGGTGAGGAAAAAGAACCTGTCATCCCGAAGGAGGAACAGAGCGTGCACGGGCCATCAACCCCGATGGCTCCAAGTCCCACATCCCTCTACCTCAACTTTTGGTTTGTTTTTAGGGTAGGGAGAGAAAAAGTGTTCCGGTCCCCAAAGGGACGCGGAGGTGCACGGTCCTTCCCTTGGGCCCTACCGCTACTCCACTGCCTGTTGCGGCCACCAGAGACAAGACGCCGTCCCCGGTACCGCACAGGGATCCAGTTCTGGTCGTCATCATGAAAGACCATTTTTCCGTTTTTTTTCTTTTTTTCTTTTGCACTGATGAAGCCTTTGTTATCTATTAATATATGTTTGTGGTGATGCAGCCTTTGTTATATATGTAATAATGTCCAATTATGTTATTTATTAAGTTCGGTATAGATGAAAATGTATATACGAAATAAAAACTGAAAAGGAAAACAATTAACAAATGAAGTGTTTTTAATAAGG